GAGTAGCAAATTTTGTAGCAAATTTCTATATATCATACTCCCTTCGTCCCAAAATTATTGTCCACTTTGAAAAAGTGAAAATCCAAAATGGACAATAATTTTGAGACGGAGGGAGTATATGAGAGTTTATGTGATTATTGGTTTCAGCAAAATGGATCAGATATTAATTACAATATTAAAAATGAAAATCCAAAGTGGACAATAATTTTGGGACGGAGAGAGTATATGAGAGTTTATGTAATGGATCTGATATTAACTACAATGTACATGATGTGATTGAGATTTCACATCCCGTAAAATAACAACGCAATGATCAGATTATGATTAGATCATTGTTTTTTTTAAAAAAAAAAAGAAAAGAAAAAGAAGAAGTAAAGATATCTTGTTTAGATGAAATGACAGCAGTCAATCATCACGAATAGACGTATATAATGCATTCTCCTTGATGAGACTCATGAATGATTTAATGCTCCGATAGGGTTTTAGACATTTCATTTTTGACAAGCCCATTGCGGAAAAGGACTTGGGGAATTAAGATTAAAGGCCCGCCCCTTTCACATTCATAATTTTTGCTCTGCGTTGTAAAGATGGTGATGCTTCACCAATCTTAATCATTACTAACCCCTTCTCTCTCTCTCCCTACAGGTCCTTTTCTGAAGATTGTTTTAATTTCAATGCCTAATTACATAATTATATAGTACGGCTGTTACTGTGGAAAAGTACACTGAAATTAGGACCAACAACACCTACATTTGTTTGTCCCTAATCAGTGATCTTGGAAAAAGTATTGCCTAACTAAGCAAAAAATATTAAACACAATACATCCCCACACAACTAGTTAGTTTCATGTCTAATCAATCTTTCATAAGCTTTTGCTTCATTAAATGAATTCTTAATCTTTTTCTTTTTTGTCCCTATGTTTTTGGGGTATTTTCCTTTCGATCTCAATTACTTCTTTTTTTTAAAAAAGAAAACAAATTAATTCACATCTAACGTAACTATAACAATCACACATTTTTCACGCTCATATCAACCATTAACTTGATGAGAATGACAAATTTTAAGTTTGGTATTTATAGCTAACCATCCTTCTTATACGAAATCGACAACTATACGAGCCTAAAAATTTAGAGCTAGCAAACATAATTAACAAAGTATGTTATATAGTTTTTCTGTTCTAAAATTATTATCCAGTTTGATATTTCACTTTTAGTATAATTTAAACTAAAAATGAAAACTCAAACTGGACAATAATTATGGGACGGAGGGAGTATTAGTAAAATGACATAGTTCATCCATACCTCTTAGACCCAAACTAAATGTATACAACTTCACTAATAATAATAATAATAAAAAGCAATATAATGAGGAGTTGTGACTGAGAATCTCATCTCTTCATTGATCAAACGATCACAATTCCTAATACCCCATCCCCTTATGGATAATGTTGGTGGAGCTTCTCTTTACTGGCATTACATTTCCCCAAGTCTAATTATATTCGACATTAGTGTGACAATCCACGTTTTTAGTTTCTTGTACATACAAAGGACGAGTGGTTCTTCCACCACCAATCTTCAATAATTTAACAAAAAAGTTTTTTTTTTTTTAAAAAAAAAAAGGACGAAAGAGGATTCGTCTAAATATCATTTGTGTCCGTTTTGAACATTTCATATGTAAACAAGAATTTTTATTTTTTATTTAAAAAAAAAAGGTTTCTTCTGCATCTCCCAATTATATTGCATTATTACTACAAATCAAATCAATATCTATCATTGTTATTTCAACCATGGAAATTAAAAATAAAACTGCTCCTTTCTTTAAATTCCAATTTTCATATTCAATAAATCCAGAAATCCATGTGGTGGAGTGTGTAAAACTGGAAATCATCATAATATTATTGGTGTCTACTATAATATGACATTTGATTAAATATTCAACTGGAAATCCTTGGGGTTCATCTCGTAGCACCATTTCTATTATTAGGTACATAATGCGTCTTTTAAACGTCTTTCCTTTAAAGTTGGAGACAAATTATTTCACAGTTGAAGTATGACACTTATCCATACACTCAAATGGCCTTTTCATTCCAAAACCACAAAATTCCAATCTTCCAACTGATAAAAGGTTTTCTGCAGAAAACACTAGTTCTCGTACACTTGTCACTCAGTTCTACTTCGAGCCATATGATAACTGAGCCCTTTGGAACTTGACACAAAGTTAGTTGACATAAATAATTGTATTCAAGTATTCAATATTCGATCCTAGAATTAAAAATGTATCATTGATTGGTTGTTTTGAATGTCCTTGAGAGCAAGATAATACAGGGGCTGCCCTTCCTTGTAAGCTTCTTCCTTGCGTTCGATTCGAATACGGAGAATAGGGGATCTATATATCTAATACTCCCTTAAGTGTGTAAAAAGACAAAAAAAAAAAAAAATACCACTGGCCTTGATCTTTTCTTGTCACGATAAAACAAAGAATATTGGACCAGTAATTGATTAAAATTTAATTGCATCCTCTCCTGCAGAAAAAGAAAAGTTAGAATTTTCATACCATGAATTGATTTAATTCTTTTCAGAAGATCAGAATGATGAAGAATTATGTACATTCTTGTTTTTGATAAGAAATTTTGGCATAGCTGAAAATTTGGATGAAGAGATACGCTATTCCATGGAAATTATCTTATGTGTTTAGCCCTTGTTTCTTTTATGATATACTATGTTTGATTCTACAGCAGTAATGATTATTCTTATCCAACGGTTCTAATTATTGACTGAACTATTCAGTCGAATGGACCATAATCACTCCATATATATATACATACATATATATATATATACTCACTTTGTTATAAAATAGATTTCACCTACACATTTACTATTTTTTTCATTAATTAAAAATTCACTTGGATGTCACCTATTTATGATCTTGGTAACCAGCGCAGAATGAATCGATGATTCAATTATTTTTTTAGAGGAAAAAATTTAATACAAGAACAAGAAAAGTACACAGTAAGAACGAGGACGCTTACAAAATGATTGTGGGTTAAAACTTTTGATATTTGTACTAATTTAGTATAAATTTTAAAATTTAATGTTGACCATTTTTTTTTTTCCGATGGAAGAATACTATTCTAAGGTCTAGAATGCCAGATGACACTATGAAGCAAAGAGCCCATGAGATAACTGATGAGTTTGGGTCTGCGATCCATTATTGAACCCGGCTCACAAGTACCGACTTACAGGCTCTAGTATCATTATTGATAAGTATGGAAAAAAAAACTTTTTTTTTTTATGGCTCAGCAAGAATCGAACCCTCGACCTCATGGTAATAACCATCTCCATTTTAATTTTTCTAACCACCCCGCCTAACCCTTCCACCAAAAAAAAAAAAAATTATGTTTAAGGTCCATTTTTAATAGAATAATTTCCATATATATATATATATTTGGTTTTAGAATGGATATGCATGTAATAATTATTCTCAAAAAGATCATACTAACTTGAACTTTGGAATAATAACCAAGATATTTTTATAAGTATTTTAATCCATTAGAATTGATACAACTAGTTTAGAATGATACCGATATCTGGTAAGGTATGCTTAAAAGTATTTACGTCAAGAATAGTTTTTTTTTTTAATTGGACGATACAGGTAAGAATCTAACCCTCAACCTCTCGATAATAACTATCTCCATACCAATCTTCTAATCACCCCACCCAACTCTCCCACTCCATAATAGTTTCACTACATTTCTATGAATATATAAGGAAAAAATGCATTCATAATAAATTTTGAGCAATCAATTAAGCTCATTATATTTGCAATCCATTAAGAACAAAATTAGTAAAATGGGACAATATAGATAGCTATGCCAACTGGCAACTGCCAAGGTTTGATCAGTAGAGCTTGCTCCTCACTTAGATATCAGACAAAATGTTACTACAACTCCCTCAATTTCGTTTTAAAATGATTATCACATATGTTGTGTATTAATTAACATAAGAATATTTTAGGGCAAATCAAAGAGTATTTACTGAACAAGATTACAACATGGCATTGGTAATACCCTTAATATTAAAAATTCTATTTTTACGAAATCCTCTAATCAAACTATATAGCATAAAATGTCAATTCTCAGATGAATACAAGCGTGTCCAGGGGCGGAACTCTTAAGCAGCCGGAAAGCCCTTTAAGGATAGTCACGATTAACGTTACGTTATATATATTCTACCATCGATCTTGATTATGAATATATAGTTAGCCTCTTTAAATTTGAGCAGCTGATTCCGTCATTGAGCATGTCAATAAATAAAAGAAAGTACGCGCTCTCCTGTAAGTAGAATTGTTTGATGCACTAACCGGCGAGGAGTAAGTGGTAATTAAGGGAGATGGATGCATAGTTCATTCAAAAAGTGGGTTAAATATTTTACAATAATTGGATTTGGCATTTCCTCTTAACACCAACCTCCAATTTTTCAAAGGAAAACTAAATGATTATATCTACGTAAATTTAATAAAAAAAAAACACACACACACACAACAAAAAAAAAAGAGAGAGAGAGAGAAAAAGGACCGAAGAATCAAGCATAGGAGACATGCACATATTAAAGCCGAAGCCGAGAAATAGAACCAGAGAGAATACAACTCCACCAATATACCTCCATCTCATAAGTTACAATCTCATGAAAGTTTTACACTCCACAAACCATCTAAGATTTCTGACGTCATCATCCTGGTTTACGGTTGAACCGGTCCGGTTTTTTGCACTGCCACCACCCCGCAGAAAAAAGTGAGCGAGTCGTTTGCACTTTTCCATCTCAGCAAATATCCATTCTTCTGGCCCACAACTTGCCACATGTCGCTCTGCCAGAATCCCATTTCATTTCGGAAAGATTCACAAAATTTGATCACCACCAAATTAGAGCCACAAAGAAAAAGGGGCGATCTTTTAATTCCCTCGTGTGTTTGCCAAGTGTAACCCAAAAAAAAAACACACATTTCCTCTTAATTACCCGAAAACATTCCCATAATTTCATCACCAAATTATAGCCACAAAGAAAAGGTGCTCTCTTTTAATTCTCTCGTGTGCTTTCCAATTGTAATCAAAAAAAGCACATTTTTTCCGTTTTCCTTTCTGCTCTCAATTTGATCTTCCAACACAGAAATCTTACTTCATCCCTTTCATACCAAGCCAGAACAAAACAAAAAAAAAAACCCACCAATCTTCTCATTTCTTTCTTTCATCTATGGCTGCTGCTTGCATTCTGGATGTTGGTTGATGCTTGAACTGGGTATATAGTAATAAAAGCAACGGGGTTTGCCTGTGTTTATTTCTCCAAGGTAAAATTTTTATTCATTGTTCCTTTCCCTTTTTGTTTAATCCATTGAAGGTTGAACTGGACTTAGTAAGTAGTAATGGGATTATGTTTCTGAATGCTGTGTAGGGAGTCAAAGGGCTTCAGAGGTTTTTGTGGAATTAAACGAACCCCGTAGCAGAGTCTTTAAGATTTCTTGATTGAATTAATATCTTTTTTTTTCCGGAAATTTCCTTTCTTTTTCTTTTTTGGGTTAATGTTAGTTAAGGAGTTATGGAGCCATTGTGTGAGTTCTGTGGAGTACTGCGAGCAGTAGTTTATTGCAGATCAGATACAGCAAAGCTCTGCTTACATTGTGATGGTTGTGTTCACTCTGCCAACGCATTGTCAAGAAGGCATGAAAGATCCCTCATTTGTGACAGATGCAATTCCCAACCCGCATTTGTCAGATGTATGGAAGAAAAGCTGTCCTTCTGCCAGAATTGTGATTGGAATGGAAATGGCTGCACTGGGCCAGGCCATCATCGAGAAAAACTGAGTTTTTACAATGGTTGTCCATCGCTTTCTGAGTTTTCTAGGATATGGTCCTCCGTTCTTGATGCCCCGCCCGCGGATGCAACTAGTTTTGGTGGTTGTTCTTCTTTTGGGAATGGAACAGTTCTGAATGTGAATGAAAATGGTATGGCTAGTTCCTGTTCAGATCTCAGAGATGGGAACAAAGGGTCGTCCACAAATGTGGGAATGGTGGCTAACAGGCTGAATGAAATTGCATCATATGTCAAGTATGAACCATGGATGACTCCCCCTGTTATCCCTCCTAATCCTAATTTTGCAGTGCAATGCAATCGAGATCAGACGCCTTTATTCTCAGATGGATGCACTCTGCCTAAGGTGATTCTTTTATGCTGTCAATAGCTTTCATGATCCAGTGATATATGATTCTCAACTGAATTTACCTTGTTGGGATAAAGGCTTAGTTATTGTTTTTTGTCTTGCCCGTTTTAGTCGTATAAAACCCTTTCTAAACTGAATTAATTGTTGGTTTAAAATTGCAGTTGCAGCCCGGATCACAGGATGCAAAGGATCTAGGAATTCAAGAGTCTGATGGTCTCTGTCAAGGCGTTGACATTGATGATGTTGCATTGATGTTTGACTGTGGCTATGATATGCTTGGCAATTCAGAAGTTCATTCAAGATACAACAGTGAAGATGGAACAATGAGCAGCTTAGTAATGGACAAAAATTTATCTGTCAGTGAGTCCAACAGTCATGTTGAGAATGCATTTGAGGTTCTCCTCGAACCAATCATATCATATTTCTTTAGTTTGTTACTGCAGAAAGGGCTTGTGGAAAACATGTTTTTGTATGGATCAGTTACACACTATCCGAAATCATTTTATCCCAGTTGGAAATCAAGAGGCAGGCATGCAGATTTGGAGTTGTTTGCTTTGATACCATCATTTTGCATCGATTGTTCATATCTATGACAAGGTTATTTACTCGAGCTTTTCTTAACTATTGTTCAATCTTTTACAGGCATCCTCATCAGCACAGACAGATTGCATTGGTTATCAGTCATCAATCGTTGGCGGATCAACTTGTCTGATGCAGAATATGAACACCAGCCCCAACTGCGTGCGTATGAATACCAACTGCAATAGAAGCATTGGCCTAGGTTTCCCAAGTGGTCAAGTTCATTCAAGCATGTCACTCTCTCTATCAAACATCACTGGAGAAAGCAGTGGAGCTGACTATCAAGATTGTGGATTGTCACCAGTTTTTCTTACAGGTGAATCACCATGGGAATCTGGTCTGGAAGCTAGTTGTCCACAGGCAAGGGACAAAGCCAAGATGCGATACAATGAGAAAAAGAAAACTAGAACGTATGCGCATCAGTTACAGTTACTATGCTTCTTTCTTCAACATGTTGATCATACTGCCTGTAAACAACTTTTAAAAAGCTATCTGCAAGTGAAATTAATCAGTATGACCGCGAATAATTTGCCTTTCCTTATTGGCTTCCATATTTATGCGAATTTCATATGCCATATCGAGCTTTCAGTCTACTATGTTTTGTCCTTTTTGATATGCTTATACTCTACGCCACTCCACCAGGCTATTGATCTAAGTCAGGACAGTAGATCGCATCATAGGCAGGTTTTGACGAATTCTGCTGTATTCTTCTTGCAGGTTCGGTAAGCAAATAAGGTATGCTTCTCGTAAAGCCAGGGCAGATACCAGAAGACGTGTAAAAGGAAGATTTGTTAAGGCTGGTGAAGCTTATGATTATGATCCTCTTCATACAAGGGATTTCCAATGATTATCAAGGTTTTCCAAATACAGTGTCAACAAATGCCAAGGTATACTTTGAATAGGCCTCCCACTTATCTTGTGCTCTCCACTGCAGATAGGGAATTTTAAACATTTAGTTAGGCATGCCTAACTATAGGAAGGTAGAAATTAAACCAATGCAAGCCTTATGAATGTTATCTGCGTAACATAAGAATCCTAATAAGAAAAGAGCATCATACTGCTGCAATTATCTTTAGTTGTAAGTTCTCATAAACCTCAACTTTCATTATCTATTGAACTGAACTCATATCCTTCGAAATGCATGATTCAAATAATCTGTGTAGTTTTTCATTGAGTAAAATAGGTATACTTGAAATGTTTGCTGTAGATATTAGAAATGTATTTGAGTCCTTTCCCCAAGTTACCTGCAGATGAATGATTAGCTGGTTAAGCTATGCTGTTTGTACATGAAAGAGCACTTGTATTCAAGCAATATTTCTTACAATTCTTGCATCTTCTGAAAAGACACCACCATTCTAGTGCTTATTACATTCATATTTATGATGCCATTCTATCTCCAACATTTAAAATATGGAAAAGAGAAAGGTTCTATCCATCATTGACATACTCATTCTGTCACTTTGTTAATTTGAGTAGTTTGTATGCAGTAATCTGACATTTAGAGGAGTCAATGGCAATGCTAATGGAAAAGCCTTCCCAATGAATGCTGTCCTTTGCTTTTCTCTGGGTAAAGACTTGTTTATTTGATTTCAGTAGGTCTATATCCTCCATTACCATAAATGATCCTGCCTCCATAACTTCTCTTTTAAGTGGCCAATGATTGAAACTCATCACTACTCCAATCATGGTCTAATTTTAGTGGTCTAACGTCATTTCCAGGTTTCGACATTCAATGGATCTCCCATTCTGATACGCTTAGGTGGTGTCTTCACCTCTTTGGAAAGATTCTTAATTCCATGAGCCGCTCAAGTTGATAATATACCCGCCATCAAACACCCATGAATTCAGACAGTGAGGAATTATCCTTTACTTCTAATAATTTTTGATCATGTCAAGGATCTTATCATATACATTCTTTTCCAATGGTTATTGGATTTCTTAATTCACAGTAGATAATTCAAAGCAGAATTTCTTCTGATGTTTGATTATCAAATAAATAGGAGTCATTTCAATTCCCACACAGTCTATTTCTCAGATGGTTGATTGCCTGAGTTTGGAACCACTTTTGCTTCTTCATCTTTCTGATGCTCTTATTCTCTCGGAATCCTATTTTATATGACAATTTTATAAATATATAAAGGTGTAGTAATCTTGCTGCAATTTTGATGGAAATGTGTTTTAGCCACTCATACAGTAGGTGAACTATGTTTCTGTTCAAGTGAACAGGTTTATGTTGGACAGAGGATGATTTGCATTCTTTCAAAATTTTCCAGAGAACAGTGTACAGGATATAGCGCCATAAGGAGAAAAACTAACAAATCAGCGATTCGCCTCAACCTCGCACGTGTGGATGTGCCGATGCTACTCACAATCATTAAGCATTCTTATGAATGTGACATGAAATGACAAGAGGAAGCTACTAATTCACAGCCAATATTGAATAGAAGACGGAGCAAGAAGTTACCGGAACTAGACTGATCAGGGCAATGACTATACTACTAAGGCCTAACACCATTAGTGTTCTTAACATTACCAAACAGAAGCCGAAATGCTGCTAAAAACTCACCTGTCCATCCCAGTCTGTGCTAGCCTTCATGGACTTGTAACAATTCCGCCAAATGATCTGGCAATCATCCCAAAAAAACAAAAGAACAAAGGAAAACACATTGGGTCAGCAGAATTATCAAAGATTGTACATATTGGAAGTTGGAATGAAACCATTTTACTTAAGAACTTTTCGAATCAGCTCAACTCATTTGCAGTATCCAAGTAGTCGTCCAAACTTGAAATCCTGATTTCTTTTAAATTTGTTCAAGCATTCTCATTTCCGAGCTTTCCTTGATCATATAATTTGCACAGACAGACTGAATACCACACTGGGTTTTTCTCATTGTTTCCATTCTGAGGAGAAGGAATGATCATCAAAGGATGGACATTTGTTCTCATCCTTATCTCCATGCTGACAGTTGCATTATGGTAATGATTTTCTGGGATGGATGATGATGATTCCTGGAGATCTCCTTCCTCCTTGATCACACAAACTCTATATATTAACCAGGCCTGGTCAAACCCCCCTCGCCATGGATCGCTGCTGCCCAGCGCGATATTGGATCTGGTTCCCGCCCGCGGAAGACTGGGTTTCATGGCTCATTGGGCTTACTCTTGTTTAATTTCTTGTACTTGGGGTTAGGGGTAAAAGAAAAATTATTATGCATACTATCTATCTATGAATGTCCTAAAAAAATAGTGCATGTTGATGAGTTTTCAGATTCCGTACTGTTTTTAATATAAATCTTCAAACACAATGTGCACTATTTTTTTTTTGAAACGGAGGAAGTACAACCTCTACAAGCATTGTTCGGATAAATACTCTCAGTGTATATTATTTGGAGTCAGTAATATGAATATTATTAAGAATAGCGATTTATTGTAGTCTCTGTCTGTTTAAAGATTCTTCACCCCGATAATATATACTCTTTGTGTCTTATAATTTTGATATTGACTTAGTTTGAATTTTCATTTTTATTATAATTTTTAGTACTAAGAATAAAAAATTCAAATTGAATATTTATCGGGAGGAACATTAAAAAAAAAAAGAAGCCATTTCGAAAGGCCATCCAATTTTCTTTAAACAAAAAAAGAATGCTTAATCGTAACTCTTACGAAGAGAAGGAAGTGAAGTGCATCATGCAGACACAAATCCCGAATTCGTACCATTAAAGAAGTGGGAAGAAGAATCAAATCCAGGTCTTCCTGCGAGAACTACTACTCCTACTTCCTCGAGTCCTCTTTTGTCTCAATAAAATAGGTGTCGGGTTTGGTGTTGTCATCTTCTTGTTCAACTCAATTTTGTTTGTTAATTAATGGGATTTAGATTCTCAAAAAAATGCCTCAACATGAGCTGGATGGAGTGTCCTTTACAAACGTGCGAGGGGTCTCCTACCAAATTCTAATTTTGCATATCAATAATTTCAACGCCCCCAAAATAATTGTTTCAAAAAGAGTACACTACTATATAAATATGTGTATAATTTAACAAAAAATTTTAATATTTGGTGTGTGGTCGAGTGATTTAATATTCAAACGGGCTGAAAAAAAAAAAAACAGATTGAACAAAGGACACCAATTAAAAAAAGTAAGAGCGGGGGCGGTGGAAAAAGGTGAGAAAGTGGGGTGGAGCTACGGTCTCAAGCGCGCCAGTCTGTTGCAAAATTGCGGGATTTTCATATCCTTAACTTCCTCCTTTAATTTGATTGAATTTAGCTATATGTGTTTGTTTCTCTACACGTTTTTTTTTGTTTTCCCTTTTTTCATTCCTAACGACGAGTTTATTATTCCGTGAATGAGTGACAATTTTTTCGTCGTCTAAATATGTAAACGCTGAAACAATAATAATTTCTGAATTCCAATTCCTAGGAAATGAATCGTGCCATTTGAACATTCTCAATCCATCAACTTGGGTTGATTGAACAAATTCAATTTATAATAAATTACCTTAAGAAAAAGAAGAAAAGAAGAAAATTCAATTTTACTACCAGCACTAGCAGTCACCCCCATTTTGCAGTTAAAGTTACGCCGTCACGTTTTTATAAAAAAACCCAGTGGATGCTGACATGGCTGCATCTAAGTGGACCATTAACATGGGTGGGCTCCCTAGCATTCACGTTGACGTTGACCCGTTAGTCCCCATGGCATAAACGATGTACACACGCCACACCGAATCATAAACCTTTTAGATTCTAACATTGTCTTCCTGTCCTGTCCTGTCCTAATATGTCCTGCGGATCACACACTTCAATTCCCAGTAGTACTACTACTTCTTGTTATTCTTGCTGCTAATAATTGTTTTCTTACGTCCGATTTTATGGTTTTTAACTGTCACATAAGTCATTGAATGAAGACCCTCCCCATCCCGTAAGCATACAATAAGCCTTGCTACTTCGGTTAAGAACTCGTGAAGACTCAGCTTCACAAGGTATGAACTGTAGCTCTTTTGTATGCTTTACTCTGTTGTTGAGTTCCATCTGTTTCTTATTTGTTCTGGGTTTCCTGTAAAAATCGATGAAAGTTCTTAATTTTGTGCTAAAACTGTTTGTGGGCCTGCATTTTTTTTTTTGGTGAGTTTTTGGGGTTTCTGTGAAATGTGAAAGGTCAAATACTTTCTTTTTCGGAGGTAGGAACTGAATGTCGTCTTTTTGTCTTCTCTTGTCGGATTTTCTTTTTGATGCTACTGCTGTTGAATGTTGAAAAGATCATAGCTTTGATCGAATTGGGTTCTTGGCACCTAATGTGTATTGTTACCGAAATGGTTTGGATGTCCTGCTTGCATATCTCATCCTATGAGTGTGAATTCTGCTTCCTTCATCGACCATAGTGTCCGGCTAAACGTTTTATGAAGGCATTAGGAGTATTTTGGAATGGATTCTATAACCTATAGTTCTATTCGATTTCCAATTCGAAGACTAAAACCTCTGTTCTGGGATTGCCTTCCTGGTCTTATAGGCGTATATGGTTACTGAGAATGGCAATTTTCTCAATCCTTGTTCTCTCTTATTGTCAATTCTGCAACTTAGCTCCTTTCCAATCCTCTTAACTGGGTGATTTTGCTTTTGTGCATTTGTTCTGTCCAGAGAAGTATACACTTTGGCTATTTGTTGATGGATGGTTTGCAAAATATTATTGCGTCTGTGACTTACCTCATTTAAGATTGAAATTCGTAGCAAATTCATAAAGTTGGCTCGGACAAGATATGAAGGAACTTTCCTTGTTTTGTCGGTTGATTTTGGTGTTGATGTTACCATCCTTAGTGACCAAAACTTCTATCTGTTGAAACATGATTTATGATGTGATGAAAGTCAGGGATCTGTGTCTTTTCTTATCCTAATGTGGCAGTCAAATCCTACTTAATAGATTTCCTTCCAGGGACGTCTATTCTTACACATGTACAACATGCATTTAGGTAATTGGTAGATTGCTAACGGAGGACAAGGGATAGTATCGACAATCTGATTTTGAAACTGCTCTTGCAATTTGCAAAAACAGCTGAAAATGATTTGTCTGCAGCTGTAATGAGCATGTGAGTTAATCTTAAGGAAAGGCTAAGCATGCTAAATTCTTCAATGTTTTAAGTTGGAGAGAGTCACAATTCTAGTCAGATTTATCATCAGTCGAAGAGCAGAGTTGTGCTAATGTCAAACAACCCGTAACCTCATGCTTTGGATTGATTATGAGATTTTGAATTGAAGTTATATCTTTTATCCTCCTCCTTTAGGGAGATAGATTCGTGCAATAGGTTCTTGAGTGTGGAGGAATGTTGGCCTTATTTTACCTGTTATGAAAACCGCATTGAAATTGTAGTTTCTCTATCTGTTTAGTTCCTCGGCATTTTATGATTCCGTGAATCACGATGATCGGCTGCATGAATTTTGATTGTGAACGAAGTCAACAATTGACTGATGAAATGTGTGGTAAAAAAAAGATTTGCCAATGCCATCATTTCTTCTGATTGAGTTTATCTAGTATTGCTGAAGATGCTTTGTTTTTTTAAAGTTTCTGACAACTAACTTTAGCATGAACACTTCTGTTGTACAGTGCTAGAATCTCTGTGTCGATCATTGGAGTTCGGAAACCATAAAGATGGCATGGGTAATGCTTGAAGTTGCTCTGCCTGCTAAATGAGAAACTGTAGAATTGATCACAGCTAAAAGTATTTTGCTTACTTCTGTGGATATGGAAGAAACAAGTACGGTGGAACTTTTAACAAAAGTGGAATTGGACTTAACATACAGTTCTCAGAAATCGGTGAATTTGCAGACACTGTTTATGCATGTTTTATCTTGGCAAAATGATATAAAATCAGCAGTTGAGTATGATAATATCTCTCCAGATTTCATTGAGAAGGCAATGCAATTTGATCTGTTGAATGCTATTTTAAATGCTGAGGTAAGAGAGCTGGATAATTTCATAGGTACAATTGAAGTGATGGTGGTTGATATTCGTCATAAGATAAATTGTGGGAAGCTGAAAGCTTTGTCCCCTGTAGAACAAAATAAATGGCACGATATTGAAGAATCGCTGAGACAGTCACAGGATCACATTCTTGAGATGAAGATCCAGTTGGCCAAATTGCAGATGACTTCGGTTGCTTTCAACCAAAACGAATGTAAGTAAGCCAATGTAATCAACAAAAATCACAACAACAGTTACTTTGAAAATCATAGAGAATGACTTTGTTTTTTCTTTCTGCAATCTCTTTTCTAACAGGGAATGCTAACATAAATATGGAGTTGTCGGAGAACTTTCGAGATTCAGAAACATATTTGAAGCCGCAACTGCAGTTGGTGGAAGAAAGGCATATTCTGAGAATGTTGGAAAAATCTCTGTCTAGAGAGCTAGATCTGGAGAAGCAGCTAAAAGTAATGAAACAAAATGAACAAGATATCGTGTTAAAGCTTAGGTTAACTGAACAAGTGGCTCAGCACATGGAAGAGGCATCAGAGGTTATCTGGGGTCGTTTCTTAGAGGCAGAAAATTCTGCAGAGGTTCTCCTGGGAATATCGAAGGAAATGGTAGCACGCCTTCAAATTGCAAAATTCAGCTTGGATAATTCAATTCAAAGAGAAAAGCTTTTGGATTCTAAACTCCAATACTATGCTGCAGCTGCACAATCAAAAGTCGAAGAGACTTCCATGGTTGAGCTTGATAGCCTAACTTCTCAGTTGCTTGCTAAAACTGATGAAGCAGTTTCTCTGAGTGAAAAAGTTAAAGTATTGGAAGAAAAGTTGAAAGAATCAACATCTCAGCTGAAAGTGGCCCAGGCAGCGTATGAAACAAGTCAAGAGCAACTTGCAGAAGTGGACATGATGATTGAATCTATGAGAGAAACAATTGATGATGCTGAGGGTAGGGCTGAAAGTGCAGAGGCTAAGGTTTCAGCACTAACAGATGCTAATTCAGAGCTAACTGAGGAACTCAATTTCTTGAAAGGAAGTAACGATAGTAATAACAAAAAGGTCAGTTTACTTGAGAAGCAGTTAAGGGACCTAGAACTTCAACTGCAACATGCAAGGGCGTCATCAGAAGCAAGTCTAGAGCAGCAGAACATGTTGTACACTGCAATTTGGGATATGGAAACTTTGATTGATGAACTAAAGCAAAAGGTTTCCAGAGCGGAAAATAAGTCTGAAAATGCGGAGGAACAACGCATGGTTCTTTCTCAAGCTAACTTGGACCTCAAAAAAGAAGTTGAATTTTTAAGGAGTAGAATTGACTCCTTGGAGACAACTCTGGATCATGTTACTGTCGAGAAAATGGCAAGTGCAAAGGACATAAGTATCAAGACCAATGTCATTATGGATATGGTAATGCAACTTGCATTGGAAAGGGAGCGTGTAAAGAAACAGGTACTTTTGCCTTTGCAATCATTGTCTTTCTGTTGATTTATTCCACCAGCACAAGATATATTATACCCTCCGCGGAGGAGGTGCAGTCCCTCATATATATTATGCAATTTTAAACTCTGGCTTACAATCTGGTAATGAGATAATTGAAATTGTTGCAGGTTAATGATTTAGCGAAAGAAAACAAGTTCCTCAAAGTGAAGCTAAGAAAGACTAAAAAGGATGAATGCTTGACTGCACATGACGACAATGATAGGAATGATAAAATGTTGCCAACATCTAGAGCTGACTCGGCTGATGCGTCGTTGAATGCTGCATTGGAATCATTCTCCAAAACTCTGGTAAGATTTCTTTACCAATCTTAGTCAAATGTTCCCGTATTTGTGCATTTTAAAGTAGTTTTTTGGCTTATTCAGAAGTACAGTTTTGAAGCGAAGAATGAAACTTATAACAGTCAGACCTACCATCTTTGCTTACTCATCATCTTTCAACCTGCCACACTATAATGCTAATACAGAAGTTAAACTTGTTGATCCAGGTGGAGGAAACACTTTATACTGCATCTTCAGATCAAAATGAAATGGAAATTCCCAGCAGTGCAGAAAACGGCAATAATTTGGATTCAAAAATGAAGGATAACAATCTGATCAAGGCACGGAAGAGTAGCAGAATGTACGTAGTCATGGCGATGTTGATAGTCTTACTAGCAGGATTAGCAGCTTATTTGTTGAACTCAAATCATGCAACCTTCCAGTTCATAGATGCTTATAACCCTTTGGTATTTTAGTTTAGGATAGCAGGGCATTCATTATTTATTAACTGCACATATTTCCCCTCAGTAGGCTGTGCTTGTAATTCTTTCATCTAGTCATCTCATTGTTTCATTTGTAATAGTTTTGGCTTTGGTTCTTCCAATTTTCATGCAGGATGGTGTTCTTGTATTTACGGGTAAATGTTGTAGGTGTGATTCCTGATTGCACATTGGTGGCATTTGTAGAATTTGTTGAAATTTGTAAAGGTCGTCATAATAAGGAAAGATAAAAAAAAAAGCACTTAAAATCAAAAGAAATGTGAATATGGAGGTATTCTTTCTTTTTTCTTTTCTTTCTATTTCATATTCTTCATACAACTCTGAAGTTTTATTTTAGGTGTGTTAGAAGTATACGAGTAATGATATTTTTTTTTAACAAAAAATTATAGGGGAAAACTTGTAACCAAATAATAACTTAGAAAACCTGATAACCATGTAAAAGAACTTTTTATAAAGTTCCTATTTAGGGGAAAGAAGAAATAATTACTACGTATTAATTACATAAACCTTTATCACAATGGAGGTATTTTATTTTTAGAAGGACAAAATGCATTTTTCTTCCCCGGCTTTTGGGGGTAGCGAGATCGAATCGTCATGTATTTTCAATTGGCAAAAAAAGCCTCTTAAAATATTTTTCTTGTCAATTTGGGTAGATTTAACAGAATTTTCACGCACTTAACGGTTTAACTCTTCTTTCCGTTAATTTTTTATTTTTTTAATATTTTCTTCCTATTTATGGGCTCCACAAACTTTGACCTATAAACATATTAGGGGACTATTTTTATTAATTGAAAATTCTTGTCACTCTCAAGTGGCGTTTTGTCCTTTTTAGAAAAATTTTCTTCAGCCCATCAAACTATGTCGTTTCATTTGTGCCGTCTCCGTTATAAAGGGAAGGTTATGTTTCTGCCTTTATTCTCGTCTTCCTCTGTCAGTGCTTCCACCTCTTGGAAAAACCCTAGTGCGGCTTCAAGCTTCAATCTTTTCTCATCACGGTTATTTTTTCTCCTCTTGTTTGGGATAAGTAGAAAGTTGTGTCTTTGGTTACTTATAACTTTTGAATTATGTATAATGCACCGAATAGCCCTTTGCAGTTTTGAGCCCTTAATTGCAAAGAAGATCTGAGAAGGTGTTTCATGGTGCTATATCTCAATTTTTTTTCCTTGGAAGAAGTCTGGGTTGAATTTTTAAGTAATTCTTTCAATTCCCATGACCCAGGAAAAAGAAAGATTCTGGCTTTATATTGTTTTGAAATGATTATTAGGGATTAGATATGAAGCAAAGCAAAGGGATGAGTATATATTCTATAGTCTGAATCATTTCAGATGTTGAATCTTAATTTATATGCCTTCAAAGTTCTCTGATTGCTTTGCAAAGTTGGCCCTTATGGTATTATTGTTTTTTCTTTTGGTTATATGGGATTGTTTGGGTTATGATTCTTTGTTTTGTTGATTCTGGCGAACTGATAAGCAAAATGATGTCAACTTTTAGATCTGATGATAATAGTATTTGATGTAGAATCAGTTATAAAAAAACAACCTTCAAAGTTCTCTGATTGCTTCTCTTTTTGCCATTTAAGATTGGAAATCATTCATTCAAACAGCCCTCTTTTTTTTCTTTTTTTCTTTTTTTTCCCACAAAAGATTATGGCGATATGAAAACAGAGATGCTGGTCTTTCTTTGCACCAAAATACATAGTCAGATTGTTACATACCATTCAGACTATACGAGCATGGTGCTAAATTAATCATTTCTCTTTTAACATTATTGAAGTTGGTTTATCTCTTGCTGGTAAACTGATGAGCTTAAAAGAAAGAACATTGCGTTGCGTTCTTAGTGACCAAATTACCTTTCAATTTCAATCTAAGCGTTTGTAAACACTAAAATTACCTCTCTTTGTCACCTCAAAACAGAACACCTTTGCAAAAATCTAATCGTCAGAAGTACATTGAACTTGCAAGATGAACTCTTACAGGAGCAATTCTGAAATTGAATACCAAAAATGATATGTTTGGCTGTAGAATGGTGGGACGGAAATCAAGCCAATTTTTGCATACCATTCTATCCACGCATTCCAGGACAAACAATGACTACCTACAATTATTGACTGTTATCTTTTGTGGCATTTTCCCTTTTCACCGTGGTAATTTCCTGGACGCAAGGCCATTAGGATAAGGGGGCAGGAATCAAATTTGAGTAGTTCCCCCTATTTTCTTGTTCTTAAACAATTATTCACCCATTATAAATAAATTCCCTAATACCTTGAACAAAAAAATGCGAATTCTCAGAATCCAGAATATGAAGGGTTGTTCAATGTGGTTTGTTTCTTCAGCCATTCTTGGAATACTTGCATCTGGTTAGTAGTATAGTTCCTTCTTGAATCCTCTCCATTTTTATTTTTATCATTCTCATGCTTTTGCACACTTTTTTGAAGAACCTGATCCTTTAGATTTTCAATATGGTTTTCTTCCTTAATTTTGCTTTGCAAAATCAGGATTAATACTGTCAAATGGGGTGATCGGAGCCGACGAAGAATCAAAGTTGCTTCTTCCGAGATGCGAATTTGACAAGGACTGTGCGCCTGTGTGTCAAAATTGCAACTTTTGCTTTTGCGACAACACTTACTGCGTCCATGGTTGCCCCCCAGGGGTCCCAAACAAGAAGCTCAAAACGGAACTCTTTCATTAGGTTTGCAAACTTGCAATGAACCCAACTAGGAAACTGGAACCCTAGATCATAATCTTACATATGAATCTCTCCGTTTTGGCATGATTGTCAAGTTTAGTTTTTCATTTGAGTAAAATGTCTAAATGGTCCTTATATTTCGGCTTACTTGATCTTACGTCGCTAACATTAACATTTTAATATCGTAGCTCCAAACATTATGTTTTTAAACTTTTTTTGTCCCATTTTACTATTTCCGGCCGTTGTCATGCCGGAATCAGAGGTATTTTCATCTTTTAATTTAATTTGAATTTCTATTAAAATTTAAATTATTAAAAATATTTTAAAATTCATATTTCATTATTTAATTATTAAAATATTATTTATTAATTTAAAATATTATTATAAAATTTAAAAATTTACATTATTTTCAAAATTAATATTGAAATTTACCATTTACCTTAAGTACAAAGTAAATGATAACTATGTTGCACTTTTAACTTTAGACTCGCTGTAACTTAAAAAACTTTACCGAGTTACAGTAAATAATTCAAAATTCAATTTTTTTTTTTAAAAAAAAAACCAAGATTTTTTTTTAGTTTGACAGCTGCAGTAAACCCTAAATGGTAATTATGTTGCACTTTTAAACTTCGACCGTCTACTATAGCGGTCAAAGCAAAAAGAATCTTGTTTTTGCTTTTTCTTTTTTTTTTAATAAAAAAAATGAATTATTTATTATAACTCGGTAAAGTTTTTAAGTTACATTGGGCCCAAAGTTAAAAGTGTAACATGAATTATCATTTACTTTGTACTTAAGGTAAATGGTAAATAAAAAGTAATTTTGAAAATAATATAAATTTTAAACTTTTCTAATAATATTGTAAATTAATAAATAATATTTTAACAGTTAAATAATAAAATGTGAATTTTAAAATATTTTTAATAATTTAAAATTTAATAAAAATTTAAAGTAAATTAAAAGATAAAAATACCTCTGATTCCGGCATGTCAACTGTCGGAAACAGTAAAATGGGACAAAAAAGTTTGAAAATATAATGTTCGGGACTATGATATTAAAATATTAATGTTAGGGACGTAAATTCAAGTAGACCCCAAATATAAGGAATCATATGGACATTTTATTCTTTTCATTTTTAATACAAATTATACTAAGAGTAAAAAATATAAACTAGACTATCAGGACCAGAACATGTACTCAGCTATTTCAAACTCTTAAAAATGATGTGTTTTGTTAAACATTAGTGATGCATAAATTGATGGTAAATCTATCTGAGCATTACTACTGTACAGTATTTGAACTTGTAGTGTTGAATTTCTAGCCCTTGAATTGTTTCACTATCTAAAGTCAAGCATATAATGAGATTTTTTTTTTCTTTTAATGCATAACTGTTTCTAATGAACGTTTCCTTTGAAACTAAATTTCGTACAAATTCGTCATTATTCCATTTCGAAGATTCATTTGTTTTATTACTTTCATAATTTGATTTAAAATTTATGTGTTATATATAATCAAATAATGAAATTACATAATTCTCAATACCTGACCTCAACAATTGATACATAATAGTTATCAACCGGGATACTAAATTTGAATTTCATTTTAACTATGAATCAAGGAAATTGAACTTTCTTCATCCAAAAGAAATCGAGTTATTAATTATCAATCTCATAAGTTAATTCCATTGTTACAAAAAGATTAAAAAAAAAAAAAAGGAAAGAAGGATAATGCTAATTTTCGGTGGGTGTGGTCCAATATGGATTAGGTATTTGGGTTGGACAAACAAATATTTGAAGGCCCAAAAAATGGACCTCCGCCGCAAGGGGACTAATTTTATTAAGGTACAAATCCCACCCATCGAACCCCGACACCCGCAAATAATATTACTATTATTTCTCCACACTAATTCTCCTCTCTAATTAAACCTTCTTCATAAACCCTAGAAGTAAATTAATTGCAAAATTCCATCTGATCTTTCCTTGAAAAAAGTTCTGATTTGAAGTAGGGAATTGAAAAGCTCAAAGAACACACGCACACACACACACCAACTCGGCTGTGGAAAATGGAAGGAGAGCAACAATGGTTAATCAATTGCTTGAATGCTACGTACTTTGGAAAAATCAAATCCACCAACTCGTTAATGCAATGCAAATTGTTGAGTATACTATGTAGTACATTACTAGTAATAAATTAAAGTAAAACTCTAAATCATTAAAATGTAATTCTTTCTTATTAAAAAAAATTACAAAACCCGAATTAATTAATAGATATTATCAACTGTTTTCGCAGAAGCATCTTTGCAGGATGCATCTCACTCGTTTGGTATTAGGAGAACATGATTTGACGCAATCGCTTTCAGCTTCGCAGGCGAATCTTCTGCCGCCGTCAATCTGCTCCTCCGGCTCTTCTTCCGGTAGCCAACTGCCGCCGAAGATCTCTCTATCTTCCTCTTTCCCCGTTTTGGACTTCAAACCTGTCACTAGGCTTTGCGAATCAATTTCCTTCAGACCTGACTTTTCTAATAAACATTTAAGTTATGCATAAATAAATATATAAAATACAAATTTGATTCTCGAAAATGAAAAAATTAAAAACAAAAATCAAT